CAACAAATATTACATTTATAGTATTACAACTAAAACCGTTTTTGAGGCCGCCACCACAGTTCGTCCTTCATGAGCCTTCAAGATCTTTGTCTGCAATGATTAGACATGTTTTTTATTATTGTCATTAGTGATTATCTCAATTTCAGCTAAAAGAATTGACAAAATCCTACACATTGTGCCTTTAAAGAATTCAAACAATTTAGGTAATTTTTTTATTCCGTACGTTTTTCTTGTCCACAATTTTTCTGCTATTTGTACAATTTAAATATCAAAACATTCAGCTCCTTCAGAACATTCCTGCTTTGGCTTTAGGTACTCCACCAGTTTATACTTTTTTAGTTTTCTCAGCCATGTTTTTCTCATTGAAACTGAACGGTGGCTGTCTTCAATGTCCTTGAAACTCCTCAAAATATTTGCAAGTCTTTASTGTACTTTTTACCCTTTGTTCTGGTTCTGCCTTTTTCAACCTCTATGTGCTTATCTCAGCTTCCTTAGACTATTTAGCTGATTTTAGATTTTTTTCGCTGCTTATTTAGCTTTCATTGTGACCTTTTCTCTTATTCTTCTGCTAATGTTAACGTTTTGTGCTTCTTTCAGCTTCTTTTTGTAAGCTTTTTGTCCTTTCAGCTGTTTTCTGCAAATTCTGGTATTTTAGCTTCTTTATAGCTAATTTGATCTTTATTTTTAATAAATTCACCTTTTTGTGTTTTATTGCAGCTTCTTACTATTTAATTTAACATTATGCTCATTTTGTTACTCTGCTAATTTCAGCTACATTTTTAACTATTATAGTCAAATTTCAGCTTTTTTAACTGTTCAGCAAACATCTGTCAGCATTAAKCATTCACACTAGATCTTGTTGTGTCTGATTTGGTTGAAGCCTTGGATTGTACTAATATTTACAATTAAATGTGGACACGTTTTTTTTAAAAAATAAAATTACTCAAGACATTCTCAGTGGCAATCTACTTCACCTTTAAAGGGATCCCCGATTAGTTGTAACATTAGACTTTATTTAATAAACATATATTTTAACTGTAAAATAAAGAGTGTAAAAATTACTGTAGTTTTGTAATTTTTTAAAAAAT